CTGTTGCATACTCTTTCGCCGGTCTGGAAAATGTGTTTAATTAACTCACATTCAAGCAACAATGCAGATTTCCCAGTGGGAGTGAGACTATTTGACTCTGCCACTAAAAAATAGGGGTGTTTTCAGCAAAAAACGAATAACCCTGGAATACACACAATATACTGAATTTCGGAACAAATCGTGCATTACTTACAGCAGCAGAATACCACAGAAATATCAGACGAAACATGAAAACACTATATATTGTATTTCAGCCTGAACCCTCTATATTGCAATTCAAGGAATTAACCCCATATGTGCATCCATTTCCCACCTTGGTATCACCCACCCCTGAAAACAAACTCTTAATACCACGCTGAAGCGTTTGGTAATAATAATCATGGTATATAATTGTACAGAACATTAGCATTTTTGTTTTGAGGAAGACAGCAAAGATCCTTGTTATTATGCTACAACCATGCAGTTATAGATTTTTCTTATCTTTCTTTAAACAGGCCTATTGTTATTGAGAACTATTTATGTGTTTTGTTGAGCACCTTTGAGCATTTATTAATTTATGGATGTATGGCGGTATATGCCTATTTATTAATATTATCTACTTTCGAAACTGTGTTTCAAACGTCGTCAAACAGCGTAACAATAATTGTAATCATCGACCTAGTTTAAGTATGAAACTGAACCATTCCCCTTGTTTTGGGCTATAATTACTTATAATATTTAGGTTCTAAGTCATAGTGTTAATTATCTCCATCGTTGTTATTAAACATACATGAATGTGTTTCTGTTAGTACAATAACAACGGGAAATGTTGTCACAACAGATCGTGAGCTAGTGTCGATCAATGAAAAATGAAATGTGAATACAACAATAAATAATAAGACAATTATCTGGCTTTTGTATTGGAATGACTAAAATGGCGCATTGAAAACTTTTAAAACGTGTTAAAAATATCCGTGAACTTCGAAAGCACCTGTTTTTAACACTTAAATTCACGTGATTGACATGTGAAGTACACAATGTAGGCTAGACCATCGCGTCTCTGTCTTTGTTTTGCTACGACCAAATAGCTACAGGTATGCTACGAACACATATTATTGTTTAGTACATTTCAGAGTATGTCTGAATCGCAAATCAACATTCAACACGTGTTACACCTGTTGCTACCTTAATGTGGCACCATGTTATGCCCTCTCAAAATGTCACATTTGTTAATAACATATTTACACGTCTATACTTTTTAAACAGCTCAAAGCAATGGCGGTCACATAGCATAAATACACAATATAAACTAATCAATTTGTTATTTATACTTGATTAAACAAACACGCACAGTTCGAGTTACCATGCCAATGAACATTACCGAGCACCTGATAATTTAATTTAGTCAGTTGTAATTTATTAATAAGCGATGGTGTTTGTTCGAGATCAATCATGGGTTAAATAACTAAATAATTACAGTCATCTGCTGGTTATGTAAATTTTATATAGGTCTTTACCAAACATAATAGTTTTATTACGATATAACTTGGCATGATTTCGTTATATGCAACTGTCGCATACGACTTGTTCACCCCTTCCGTGTGACTGAGAATGTTCTAGAACCGTACTGTGTCTGGGTGGAATTTTTAGAAGTTGATTGAATAGGTAATAGGACACTGTAGAAAGCAATAGAAGGTAATGGAACATTCTAGAAATTTGTAGTAAGTTCCAGACTCTTATGTATGCTGATGTAATGGTCTATTTATAGACAGTGTGGGTATATAGTAGGGGAGTTGTTCAGCACTGAGTTCAGATCGGAGATCTCGTTGAATTGTGATTGGAGTTTAAGTATCTAGTTATTGGAGTAGTGGAGTTTTACCGCGTTATTGTACTTGATGTTTGCAGAGTATAATAATACCAGTACCAGTTGAAACCTCATCTGTTGGCTCCGTGTTCGTATTTTATCATTGCCGCCAGGGAAGTCTTTTTGTTACTTGTTGCCATTTTGGTATTTGAACCATCACACCTGTACTATACCAATTACGCCAATATTACGTTGCGTGTGACAGCAACTAGTTGAATATCCAATGAAGAATTAGAAGCGATAAATTATTTGACATGAGGATTAATGATCAGTAAAAGTGGCCATTATAGGAATTGGAGCTGTAGCAGCCTGGTTGTGATATCACTTTATTGAAACACATAACATTTCAGGGAGGAATTGAACTGGTCAAATAACAAATAGCAAAATAAAAAACGAAATACTACAAAAAATCATATTCAACAGAAAATAGACAAGAAATAATAAAGGGTACACAATGAAAACTAGTTATAAATCAATTTAAGGATACCAAAAATATATCTGTGGGAAGTATTTGAGGAATTTCAAATTGACTGAGAGTGTTGCTGTCTAGTGCGCATGCTGTACTGTTTTTATTATTGGCTCGAATAGGGATGAAAATGTTGCTACTGGGAATGATATTAATTGATTTTTCCAATAATAGTTTTCTTCGATCTTTATAGAAGGGACATGTTACTAAAAATGGATATTATTTTCAACCTCGTTCGTATTACAGTGCTCACACAATTTATTATCCACTGGTGTTGTGAGCCGTGTACATCTCCCTACTTTTATGACGTGATCGCTCAAACGAAAGCAAGTAATGTTTTCTCGCGATTCATATTCGTATTATTGGTCGAAATTATTATATAATAATATTTACAATTGTATCTCGTCCACCTCAGATTTGTATAGCGTTTTGTAATCCCAGACATTGCAGCCATATTACTGGATTAATTAATTTTTCGAAGAGTGGAAGCATTATATTCAAGTTCAGATTTCATTTTTGTTCGTTTCTATTTAGACTCTCGGTGTTTCCTCACATAGTAGACAGCTAACTTTACTTTCTTGTACAGTGAGTAAACTACATTGATTTGGGTTAAATATTCTTGGTAAATAATTCAGGTATAACATGAAGAGCACGGTACAACCTTTTTTAACATCTTTGTTTGTTAAGAATGTTAGCCCACCATTCACTGGCATTTGTTTTTGAGTAGTTTATACACGTTGCCAGTATGCCAGGCTTAAAAATAGAAATAACCCTTCACGATAGACGCTGTCGAACGTTTTTCTTAGAACGAACAACAAAGCAAGCAAGTCTCTTGGGCCTCTTTGAACTAACAGAGTCTGTACCTTGTGTTACGTGTATTAAGACGTTGTTATAATTAAAACGGGAGGGTCGTCACCTGCGCACGCGCGTGAATCGAGTCCCAGGCGACGACAACAACACACGCTAAAAACGCAAAAACGCTAGTTTGTAAACAATTACACGCTATGGCCATCTGACGCATGCGCAGGTAACGACTCCCCCGCTTTAATCACGATTATCTACTGGTATTTTTACCTGAGATAAACACTGAACACTTTGACTACATATAGTGACGTGTTTCACGAATTATATTATGGAAGTTAAGGTTTCTATTTATTTATTTATTTATTTATTCATTAGATTAGGACTGTATGTGAAGCGTGCGAACGTGATTTGCATACTGAGTTAACACGCCACTATTTAGACATCCAGTATATGGCCAGTGCAGTTGCCATAACAACAAATTCAACCGACAATAATATACGATTATTGACTATGTTATACGATTTGTTCCGCGATGTTAGTCAATTCAGGGATGTTAT